AGTGTGAATTTGTGATCTCGAGATAATTCTCTCTTTTCCCCTCATTCTCTAATAATAAATTAAACCATTTTTATGTATTTTGACGACTAGAGTGACGAGTAGGATTTGGACCAATACATTACCGGTTCGGTTTTCATTTTTGGAAAAGTGGTCTGTAACAGTGTGAGAAAATCAACTGAAAAACCAAACTTAAGAGCTTTTTGTTTTTCATATCCGAACAAATTGTAATCAAAATTTCAAAACGGAATCACAAATTAATAATTTAATTCAATAATCTTCTAAACTCAAAATATATGTTTATAGTAGTAAAAAAAAAAAAAAACTTAACAGTATCAAATTGAGCCGAATGATAATCAGTTTCTATATTTTATATTAAATAAACAAACAAATATAAACCTGTAAAATCTAAAATCTAAGCCAGTGAAACAAGATTAGAGTTCCTTAGCTAGTCATAAATGTGTAAACCAAGTAATACCAAAATGCCTCGGTCAGGATCCTTTTCCCCGCCACACATGACACACACAATCGGTTAAGATTTCATTTAACAGTATGATTTCTATTTAATTGATTCGAATGATTTTATTTATTCTTTATTTCTTGTTAGTACTTAACCGATTAGGATATAATTAAGTTAATTCGGTTTATTTAAGCCTAGTCGCATGCTGACGAATCTCGTGACGATATGAGCATCCATTAACAACAACATTATATAAATATATATCAAGCTACCTAAGAAAAATACATAAAGATATGCTTCCAAATTTTTCTAAAAATTGAGTAAAATAAAAGAATTTAGATGCCTAACACGTGTATTGTTTGAAAATCACAAAGACATCTTAAGAACTCCATAGATTTTGTGTTAATTAATCACAATTCACAAGAGTTTAGGCAACGTATTAACTGTATGAACCACATATCAATCACTGTTTAGTGTGGTCCCTAACCTTAATTCTTGCCCCAATGTCCGCACTTATTCTTAATCAATTGTGTGTGCGTGTCAGTGTTACGTCGTCGCTACAAACATTCGGATTAATGGCTTATTAATTTAAGGATTAGTATTAGTGGGGAAAATGCAAGTTGAAGTAAAAGACAAAGTTTTCATGGAGACCAAGAAAATGTTTGCTTATCCAATGATGTTAATTCTTTCAATAACATGCGATACTACTGGAGTTCGATGATCGTGATTCTATTGGATATCCCATTATATTGTTTACATATCTTGTAAGCAAGTTGAGAGACTTTTTTTTTACTGATCCTTATAGGTGGGATTGA